GAAATAATAAAATAAAAATTAACCAGAAAAAAAATAAATGCTTCATTCATTCATATTATCTCTTATGCCTTAAGTGGTAATCCTTAAGAATGAAAAATACCCTTAGCTATAAAACTGTGCATACCCTTTGATTCAGCGATACCACTACTAGGTCTGTATCCCAAAGAGATCATAAAAAAGGGAAAAGGACCCACATGTACAAAAATATTTATAGTAGCTTTTTTTGTGGTGGCGAGCAATTGGAAATTGAGAGGATGCCCATCAATTGGGGAATGGCTGACCAAGTTGTGATATATGAATGTAATGGAATACTATTGTGCTGTAAGAAGTGATGAGCAGGTAGACTTCAGAAAAACCTGGAAAGACTTGTATGGACTGATGCTGAGTGAAGTGAGCAGAACCAGGAGAATATTGTACACAATAATAGCCACATTGTGTGATGACTGACTTTGATAGACTTAGCTCATCTTGGCAATGCAAGGATCTAAGACAATTCCAAGACTTGTGATAGAAAATGCTAAACATATCCAGAGAAAGAATTATGGAGTCTGAATGCAGATAGAAGCATACTATTTTTGCTTTTTTTGTTTTTTGTTTTTCTTTCTCATTGTTTTTCCCTTTTGTTCTGATTCTTCTTTCACAACATAACTAATGTGGAAATATGTTCAACATGGTTGTATATACATAACCTATATCAGATTGCTTGTTCTCTTGGGGAGGGAAGGAAGGGAGAGAGAAAATTTTGGAACTCAAAATTTTACAAAAATGAATGTTGTAAACTATCTTTACATGTAATTGGAAAAAAATAAAATACTATTTTTAAAAAGTGCCCTTATTGTGAGTGATGGTGCTGTAGATAGAAAACTCATTGGCTGGGGCTAGAGTGATGAATGGTGAGTGGGGGAGGTATATTTCCCATCAACAAGGAGTTTGACACTTAATAATGTGGTTACTTTCTGGGAATCTAGACCTGCCAGCTTGAGTTCAGGTTGTCGTGAGTAAACTAAACCCACAGAAAAAGTAGGATATTGATACATGTAGGTGAAAGATGTGAAGCTCTTCCCTAGACAGTATACATTTTAATGATACCTCACACTAATGACAATATCACACACCTGACATGTTATATATATAGTTTAACATGATACATATGTAATTTGACCATGGGAAGATTCAGAACGGACATGAAACCCTCTTCAAGTGTTTGAAAGGCAGTCACATTGAAGAAGAATTGGTTACAGCTGTCCAAAAGTGGGATGGTCTACCTTGGATTTCCTCTCACTGGCTGCCTTCAAGGCTGGAAGATTGCTTTGGAGAATTCTGGATCAAACACCAGTTAGACTAGTAAGGGTAACCTGAGTCTGGGTGTAGATTTCAAGGAATCTGTGAATTTGGGTAGGATAAAAAATTACATTTTATTTCAATATAATTGCTTTCCTTTGTAATCCTATTTCTTTTATGTGTCACCCTAGTCCCAAAGCCCATTGGTATAGGATGTTCTCCTTATTGATGAAGATCAGTGCCCTGTGCCTGTGTAAGGGGAGAAGTGGAGTTGGTGAGATTGAGAGTTTCACTCTCTTTAGTTTTTTTCAAGACTCTTAAATCTTCAAGTCGATTCAGGGCTTGTAGTCATTTCTGGTGCTCCTGGCTTCCAGCTTTGAGCTGGGAGAAAGAAGAGGCCAACACCACTTCAGGTTGTTGAAAGAAAAGACTCTGGGAAAATGCTAGAGAAACCGGCAGTCTCCATCATGTCCCCATTCCCAGCTTGCTACATTAGAAACTGTGGGAATTCCCCTTCAGTGAGATCTGGGACTGTCTCTCTTGGTTGAGCTGAGTTACCTTGCTCCCAATGGGAGAGCTCCTTCACTCTATACTGTCTGGTGGATATTCTCTTATGTATACTTTCTCTGATTTCTGTTTTGCTATGAGTTGAATAAAAGTGTTTCTTTACTATTCACTATGTTTGTTCATTGTGAAACTGGTATTTGGAAGAAAGGGAGTCAAGCCTTGGATACAAAAGTTAGGGCTCTTCTCCCCCACCCCATAATGAAAAAGCAATCAGAAGTTAGATTGAACCTGATCACATCCCCTAGACCAGGAGTGGGGAACCTGTGGCCTTGAGGCCACATATGGCCCTCTGGGTCCTCAAGTGCAGCCCTTTAACTGAATTTTCCCTCCCTTTTTCTTCCCCTCCCTCCTTTCTTTTCCTTCCCTCTCTCTTCCTCCCTTACCACTTCTTCCTTTCTTCTTTTTCCCTTCTCTACTCACTCTTCTCACCTCTTCTACTTTCTCGTACTCCTCCATCTCACCTTGCCCTCTCTCTCCTTTCTTCTCTCTCTTCCCCTTCTCTTCCTTCTCTTTTCTTTCCCCTCTCCTCCCATCCCTGCTTTCTCTCCCACTTTCTCTTTCTTGTTTCCCTCTGCCCAGGGCTGTTCTGTCCATGGATTCAGTCAAAGGGCAGCACTTGAGGATTTGGAGGGCCACATGTGGCCTGAGGCCACAGGTTCCCCATCCCTGCCAGAGACTAACAATATTTAAGAAAACAGAAAGATATAAGTCTAACTCCATGCCCCCTCTCTCTGAGAAGAGCAGGATGGTCTCTGGTCCCAACTTCCTGCTTCCCTGCCCAGCAGGAATTAAAGTCTCCCTTGGAGAAGTGTGGGGGAAGAAGAGACTAAAAGATTTCTGCCTCCTTTCGAGCCACCCCACCCCACCCCACCATGCTATATTCAAGAGACAGCCCCTCAAAACACATGGGCCTCACCACATAGGCATTTAGAAACATTATTCTGAGAAGGGATTATAATACAGGAATATATAACAAAGGAACATATATCACAAAAAAGGTTAAGAACCTCTGGATGACATAGTCTCAAAGGTTTTTTAATTCTTGAAATTCTTGTTCTTAGTACTCATCTTTCTCTCCCTTTGCTCCTCTCTTCTCTTCTCCCATTAATTTCTCTTTCTACTGTTTCTTCCTTCCACTCTTCTCTCCCCATTTTCCTCTGTCCTCCTCTTCCCTTCTTAAGGCCCTTCCTCTCTCGCTTCTTTCTCCTTTGTTCCATCTGACCTCTAAAGGCTCCCCTTTCTTCCCTCCCTTCTTTTTTTCTCCTCTTTCTCCCTTATCACTTTTTCTTCCTCTCCTCTTTTTCCCTCCTCCACTCCCTCTTTTCACCTCTTCTTTCTCTTCCTCCTCCATCTCATCTTGCCCTCCCCTCCTTTCTTTTCTCTCTTCCCCTTCTCTTCCTTCTCTTTTCTTTCCCCTTTCTTCCCTTCCCTGTTTTCTCTCCCACTTTTTCTTTGCTGTTTCCCTCTGCCCAAGGCTGTTCTGGTAAATATTTAACATGTGGCTCTGAAGGGGGAAAATACACACACTCAACACAATTTTAAGCTTCATCTGCATTATTAATATTTTCTCCATCACTTACTTAAGCCTAGGCAACTGACAAAACAATAAATCAAGCCGTGATTTATAGCATTTGCTGATTTCCAATGTGTAAATGTTCATTCACAATCCAGCATGAGCTGGTCCAGCATGCCTCTACCTCTGCCCCCTCTACTGAGTTTTTTTTTTTTTTTTTTTTGTCTCCTAACTTCTTTTCTCTCTTTTTCCTCTTCTTTCCTTTCCCCTCTTCCTTTTTATCTCCCTCTCAGCTCTCCCTTTTTCTTCTTCCTCCTCTCAATTCTCTTTCCTTCTTCTCTCCTCTCTCTTCTTTCCTTTCCTTCTGTCTCAGGTCTCTCCAGCTGTCCTCTCAGCTGTCCCTACCTCCTCTCCTCCCTTACTGCCTCCCCTCCTCTTTCCCTACTTTCCCTTCTCCTCCTCTCCCTTCCTTCCTTCTTTCTTCTTCCCCTTTTCTCATCTCCCTCTCAGCTCTCCCGTCTCCTCTCCTTCCTTTCTGTGCTTTCCATCCTCTCCCATCTCCTTCCCACCTTTCTACCTCCCTCCCCACTCTCCCTCTTTTCCATCCCCTTCATCCTCCCAGTCTTCTTCCTGTTTTTCTCCTCCTTCCCCTTTCAATTTCTCCTCTTCTTTCCTTCCTCTCTCTCTCAATCCTCATTTTCTTTCTAACTAACCTCAGCCTTTCCCCCATTCTTCTTCCCCCTCCCTTCTCCATTTTCTCTTTCCTCTACCTTGATCTCTTCCCTCTCTTCTTCTGCCCCTTTCTCCTCCCCTTTCCCTTCTTCCCTTCCCCCTACTTGTCTACTCTCCCCTTCTTCATTCCTCCTTCTCCCTCCCCTCCTTCACCTCTCTCCTCTCCTCCCTTTCACTACTCTCCCACTTCCTCTTTTTACCTCTTCTTCTTCCCTCTTTCCTTTCTTTCTCCCTCTTCCTCTCTTTTTCTTTTCTCCTCTCCCTCCTCTCCTCCCCTCTCCCCATCCCTTCTCTTCCCTTCTCCCTTCTTCCCTTTCCTCCCCTTTCTCTCCTCCCTCTTTTCCCCTCTGTCCTCTCTCCTCCCCTCTTTTCTCCTCTGTCCTCACCTCTTTCTTCTTCTTCTCTCTCTCTTTCTCTCTCTCCCTCCCTCCTTCATCCTCTCCTTCCCTCTCCCCTCTTCCTTTCTCTGTCCTCTCATCGCCTCCCTTCTCCTCCTTTCGTCTCCCCCTCTCTCATCTCCCCTTTTCCCCTTTATC